TTAAACTAAACTTCAAAACATTCTCAAGTAGCATTTTTTTCTTATTTTCTGTATCTTCTGATGATCAATGAATTTTTAAAATTTGTTTGTACTGTGGAACTGATGGGTACCAACACTTAGTAGTGGAGGGTGACTAGGCCCAGGGCCCTAACAGCAGCAGATCAGTCTGCTGCTGGGTAAGCAGGGAACCTCACTGCAACACATTGATACCAGCTCTGGTTCTGCCTAATGTCAGCTAAAAGGAGGTTACCTACTTCGACGGTAACTGATGTTCTTCGAGAGGAGTGTCCCCGTGGGTGCTCCACATTAGGTTGGTGCGCTGCCGCCGAACCCAGTGACGGAGATTTTTGACAGTTGTACCCCGGGCCGCACATGCGCCGGCCAAGACAGCCACAAGGTCCCTAACTGCCTAGACTGTGCATATGCAAGCCCCCCCTTCCTCCTCAGTTCCTTCTCTACCCCAGATTCCACTGCCAGACCCCAGATTCCACTGCCCGAAGTAGAAGGGAAGAAGGGAAGGTGTGAGCACCCATGTGGACACTCATGTTGAACAACGTCAGTTACTGTAGAGGTAGGTAATCTCCTTTTCCTCCTCGAGAGATGTCCCCGTGGGTGCTCCACATTAGGTGACTACAAAGCCGAGTCTCCTTAAGGAGGTAGGGACTTTGGTTCAGGAAGGAAGGCAGTGGATAAGACAGATTTTGAGAATTTGAGGTTTGATAGAGGGCCCTGAAAGAGTGCATAGTGTTTTGCAAATGTGTGGTCCAAGGACTATGCAGCAGCTGAACATATGTCTTCTAGTGGAATCTTCCTGAGGAAGGCAATAGAAGTGGAAACAGCCCTGGTGGAATGGGTTCTTATTCTGTCCGGAGGGGCCACTCGGGTTTGCTTATAGCAGAGTTTGATACAGTCTGCGATCCAGTGTGATAGTCTCTGTGAGGATAGTGTGTCACCCTTTTTGTGTTTGCTATGGAGACAAAGAGTCTAGGAGAAGATCAGAAGGGCTTGGTGCGTTGTAGGTGGAAAGAAAGAGCTCTGCGGAGATCAAGGGTATGCATCTTGGTTTCAAAGTCATTCGCATGGGCAGGGCTCGCCGAGCCGCGGCGAGCCCCGCTCGCCAGCCCCGCTGTCCGGTGATCTGTGCATGCGCAGATCGTTCTGCGCATGCGCAGATCGCCCAGACCCGGCTCTTCCGGGTTGTAATCTACTTGCCCGTGGCGAGTAGATTACAAAGTTTGTCAAGCCCTGTGCATGGGGCTTCAGAAAGAAGGTAGGAAAGTGAATAGTCTGGTTGAGGTGAAATGAGGAATGTATCTTTGGGAGGAATCTGGGATCTTGTCCTTTAAGAAAGTGATATAGGGAGGATCAGTCATGGGTTCAAAGGGAGCCCTTGTAAGCATGTTTAGTACCAGATGGAGATCCCATGTTTGTACAGGTGAAGCTATGTCCAGTTAAAGTGTTTGGAATCCCTTTACAAACCTGTGTGTGAGTGTATGTGCGAAGACTGAAGTGTTGTTGATATTGACATGGAAGGTGGTAATAGCAGCGAGATTGACCCTAGTGGAAGTTAACACCAGACCGGTCTGTTTGAGGTAGAGGAGGTAGTCGAGGATAGTTGGTATTGGTGCTGTGGATGGTGAAAGATTCTTCTGAGTGCACCATACTGCAAACCTCCTCCACTTGTGCTCATAAGTTTTGCGTGTAGTAGGGGTCTGCTGTGGAGAACTGTTTGTATTTCATGGGAACACGAAAGCTCTGTGCTTGAGCGCCACTGAAGAGCCAAGCCGTGAGATGGAGAGAGGCGAGGTTTGGGGGGCTTGGCCTGTGACAACGGGAGGAGGCAGAGGTCCTGGAGGAGAGGGAAGTGGATGGGTTGATCAAAGGACATCCTGGTCAAGAATGGGAACTACGGTTGTCGAGGCCATGCAGGTGCTATGAGGATGAGAAGAGCTTCGTCTCTCCTGATTTTGTGCATCACTTTGTTTAGGAGTGGTATTGGTAGGAAGGCATAGTGTAGGTGCTATACCCAGGTCACTAGGAAGGCATCGCCCAAGGAACCCTTGCTGATGCCCGCCGTGGAACAGTAACATTGGCACTGTTTGTTTGTGGCAAATAGGTCTATGATTGGTTGGCCTCAGAAGTGGAAAATGTCAGACAGAATCTTGGTGTTTAGCTGGTATTTGTGTGCCAGAGGAAGCACTCTGCTTAGGGCATCAGCAGTAGTGTTGAACACGTCCAGGAGGTGGACTGCGGTGATACTGGTATTGTGCCTTATGTACCAATTCCATAATGTGAAAGCCTTCGAGCAATGTGCGCGAGAGCGTGTGCCTCCTTGTCAAAATTGATATAGAACATCACGGCTACATTGTCAGTATATAATCGGATCTGGTGGTTGACTAGAAGAGGCAGGAACTCTTTGCATGCATAGTAGACAGCCTTCAGCTCCAAGGTGTTTATGTGGAAGAGTTTTTCCATTTGAGACCATAGGTCCTAAGCAGTGTGTTGGCCAATGTCAGCTCCCCATTCTGACAGGGAGGCATCTGTGGTCAAATGACCTAGCTGCGCCCTCCCCCCGTTCGTAACTAGGGGTCCGACTTAAGTCGGTTTGACGTAACCCGGGGTCTGCCTGTACATCAGTGTTTTCCATTTTTTTTTGACCAAGGAACCTTTTTAAACTCAGAAAAATTTTAAGGAACCCCTACAACCACGGAAAAAGATTGTCGAGCAAAAAAACCACCCCACCATCCAAGAACATAGAAGGCAGTTAGGTCCCTTGGTAAAAGCAAAGCAGCAGCGGGAGACGGGGAGGTGTCTGAAAGCCCAGCGGGAACCAGAGAAGGAGCCAGAGTCTTTGTGCGCCGGGCTCCTCTCTGTCTCTTTAAGGGCGGGGGAGCATTTGGGTTCTTGTGGAACCCTTACTTTCACTTCGCAGAACCCCAGGGTTCCGCGGAGCACCATTTGGGAAACACTGATTTACATAAACAGGAGAACTGTAACACTAAAACAATTGTAATGAAGAAACAAACTATCTAATTATGAGAGAGGGGTCTAATTCTAGTAGAGAAAAACTGAGAGAAAATGCTGTCAGGAGAGATGAAGCCAGAGGTGGTAGAGAAGGAACTGGGGGTGAAGGCGTGGGGAGGGGGGACTCGTGCATGTGCAGTCTAGGCAGTTAGGGAGCACACGTCTGTCATGGCTGGTGCACGCACAGCCCAGTGGTACAGCTGTCAAAAATCTCCATCACTGGGCTCAGTGGCAGCCCACCAACCTAATGTGGAGCACCCACAGGGACATCTCTCTCGAAGAAGAACCCTAGGCTACTTCCCATCTCCCCCTCTTCACGTACCTAGTCCCATAGCAGACCCTCTGGAGCATTGAGGGTTGACAGCTCTGGAAAGGATGGTAGTTCCTCCCCATCAAAGCCCATCTGGGATTCTGGAGATCCGGGCCAGTCCTCAGACTCCTGTAAGCCCTCTGCAGCCTCCCATCTTGGGAGCACAGGGCAGGCGTCTGGTTCCTCTGGTGGCTGGGGCTTGACTAAGCTCCTGGGCTGATCTTTTATCTTGATAGCCACGCCCCCAACTTCTGGTCAGGTGATTGATTGGGGCCAGGTCCTGCCCAAAAGGGCTCACGGAGGGGCTCTTTCCCCTCCGGGTCAGTGGGTGGTCACCATGCCTCAGACAGAGATTTTGATCTAAAGTGCCTATCCAAAATAATTCACAGTTTGACAACTGTACTTGGTATGTAGTTCAAAGGTGTGTCTATACTTTCTCATCTAAGTATAGTCTAAGAAAGTACAATCTGTTTATATGGGAAACTGGGACTGATCTCAACTCTTGCAATCTGGGCCAGTGGAGATTAGGTTTGTTATGGGTTGGTGAGGACAAAGTACCACATTTAAAATAAAGCTACTCTTCATGTACCCTCTTCACATGCTACATAACTTAGAACATTCTGAGAACAGAACTGATTCTCAAATAGCTTTTCTTGAGAGATTATTTCATAGTTTAACAGAGAGCTCACTGGAGAAGCACAAGTGTAACTGAAGGGCAGATTTTAGTCTCTTGTCTAATTGTTTGCAAGAGACCACGAGTGAATATGACACTTTATAATAATAATCATATAAGTGTATTTGAATAACAAAATGGAGAATTTATTATTTAGCTTCATACCAGATAGTAATTCTCCAAAGGCTTCATTCCAAAGATACCGCATCTATTTAATTGCAAAATAATTTGCATGACAAGTTTAAAAACAGTATGATACCATGATAACCTGATATGCAGAGTTCTGTGGAAGATTGTGATTCAATTCCAAATGCAGTTCAGTGTTCATCTTTTAATGCTAGAATAATGTCAAAAATAGAAACAACTCTTTCACGCAAACTATTATTCTGGACTTGCTTCTCTCTACAGATTTACACACACACACACACACACACACACACACACACACACACACACACACACACACTATTTTTCATCATAGTTTCTATCCATTCTTGCATCAAGGTACTCCTTCAGAAAATCATGGTCATGTACAACCGAAGGTGAAAACTCTGATTAGGGAGCATACCACAAAGGTTTCCTCTTTCCGTGTTCACCAGAATAATTTATACAACTGTATTTTTGTGAAATCAAAGTGCTGAACTCCTCTACTTCTCTGTTGAAGGATATAAGTCATCAGTCTCTGCTGGGACTGCTGTTCTTTTAGCCTATGTGCCTCACAAACTAAACATCTGATTCACAATGTACAAGTACCAAAAAAGTAGTGAATCTGGATTACAAATGAATTAGAAAATAATTTGACATGAACACATTATTTGGGTCATTAAACTGGTATACCTTTGGTGCTTTGTTTATTCCAACATATAAGAGATGATTAGCTGTTCCGTTAATTCTTTGGCCATATGATGAGTGATTTTTTTATAGTAATAGATGGAGCTTCAGATACAAAGTATTAATGACTGAGCGTAATCCTGAACAGAGGCAAAAATCTCATTTATATCAAAATAAATTTTATATTAAATACAGATGGCCGAATTTCTCCCAATAAATTTGACGCCAAGGCCGGGAATATTCAGAAAGTTTTCTAATCCTCTGCTTATAAAATATCATTATATTCAAGTCATTTACCTAAATTTGATTACAACTTGCCATATCTTCTCCTTGGGTGCTCATCTTTTCTCCAATATAAAAACAAGTCTTTGAAGTTATTTATATCAACAAGAAAAGGACTGCTTCTAGACAAAGAACTTTCTTCAATTTAATTAGTAAAATATTTTAAAAATTATTCACACTGCTTTTTAAAAAAGGAACACGCAGAGAATTCTACAACTTCTCTGACAAAAGAATGCAACTTCAACTTACAAAACAAAACAAAAAACCCAACACAGCACAATCCCAGATGATCAGTTTCTTTCCCCTAATTTCACATTAACAAAACTAACTCCAATGCGTTCCTTTTATAAAGACATGTAGACATAATTAGAGGCATAAAATGAACACCGTAACTATTTTTAAACATACCAGAATATTTTGGATATGAGTAATTAAGTTCCACGTTTAAAAACGTATTTCAGATTTGCTTTATATCGCATTCAGAACAATACATCCAGCATTAATTTATGTAAAAACAGGAACAAACTTATAACATTTAGACTGCTCTAAACAATCATTAATTACACTCCAAAGGATCTCACAAAATTCTCTCTGGAAAATAGTCTTTAGAATGTTTTTATCACAGTAAAATTATAAAAAAAGACAGACATTTTAAATGGAATCTAAACTAGTTGTTGAACATACTGAAGGCGTTAGATTCAGTACATAGAGGTAGAACAATTGGAATATTAGCAGTGTCTTGTCTGTTTAGAGAAGACACAACCAATGAATGGGGAAAAAGCTACTGGGTATGCTAGAATTCTTTTGGTCATTTAGGAAACATCTAGATAGCAGCGCTATTTCAGGATATGTCTGGCATCCGGTAATAGTGTTTTCCGCATCTTAACAGCACACCCGTTATTTCAAGTGCAATCCAAATAATGGGGTTGCTATTCCGACATCCCGGTAAACCTCATTCCATGAGGATTAAGGGACTTGTTGGAATAGTGGTCTATTTCAAAATTTGGAGCTGTGTAGACAAACTCATGCTGTCTTTGGGCCTGATTCAATGCCTACTAAAGCCATTAGAAAGATTAATTCATTTCAACTAGAACTGGATCAGGTCTCTTTATACTTTGGGGGTTCAGAGACAGATTTGTGCAAGAAAAACAAAAAAAGCTGTAATGGAGCTAATGCCTTTTACCTAACCTTTGGCTGCTCTCTGCTTTTAAGCATTAGGTAAAAGAATTTTGATGCATATGGACCCACTTTATGGAAAACATTTGGTACAGTGGAGCTTATATTTTGGATCTAAAAACTTATGTCTGATCTATTTTTATAACCAGGTATGAGCACACCTCAAAAGGCACATTTGTTAAAAGCTATTACTCACTGGCCAGTGCCCTGTAGATTATTTGTATCTGAAAAGAAGCTTAATACAGGCCCAGTATTGCAAGTTGCTGAGCATCTTCAACTCTCATTTATGCTTAGTTTCATTGTCTCCACTCACATGACTGAAAACTAAGGGCATCAGTACCTTGCAGGATCTTTGTTGCTTACATATTTTATAGATTATGGATTGAGGATTTCAAAATACATCACTGACAACCAGTACTAATGGCTGCTATTTTAATGCCAATGGCAATAAAAAACTCCGCTAAATCAAGACATCTCTGCTTGGAACCAAATGGAATCCTCTTATGTTAAACCAAGAACAACCAAGGAGAAATACAGCTAAAAATAATTTGACAAACACATAGTGACATGCATCCCAAGTTCCTTTTTGGATGGCACATCAAATGGTGTAAATGTTCACAGCTTACTGGAACCATGGAAGAGACAAACTAAGGGTGTTCCCCTTTGTGTTTGCAGATAATGCTTGCAGTGCAATTGAGTGAAATGGGAATAGATACATGCATTCTGATCTCTGAATTTGTATTTATCTTACTGTTTGAAGTTCTTTTTTTCCTCTTATTTTTTAATAGACACTCACTACTACCACAATTCCAGCAGACAGACTCCATCTTAGAGTCCATGTTAATGTACCTGTTCAAATTGCTTGACTTTTTTGAATAAGGTCCTTGTTGTGTGTTCAACTATATACCTATTCCCCTTTCTTTCTGGGCATAGATGTACAAATATCATTTCTGCATTCTTGGTCTTTTTCTCTGTGTATTAAAAAAACCTATATATTTTAAGAAAATATTTGCAACCAATTGTAAAATTAACCATGATAATGTTCTTGTTATTAGAAACATCCTTTATAATTTGTCTTACAACCGTCTCAATTAGAGAAAAATAACTGTCAACTTTCTTGTCCTCATGAGGTTTATTAACAAGGCAATATATAAAACTTAGCTTCTCTTTTACTACAGTAAAGATTCTATTTAAAAATAGCATCTACATTCTGTCATTGCAAATCTCTGTGTTGCAGTTGGGAGAGGGAACAGAAAAAAAATGTTCATCTTGGGTAAATAATAAAAAAGCCTCTTAGCTGCACAGCACAACTATTTCACTCATAACCCAAGAACCAGACCATTCTTTGAAGAAGCTTATGATTCATTTAAGATATACAATGCCATGATATCATAATACAGAACTGAAAGAAATTTCTTGAGAAACCATTAACTTTGAAGGAATGTCTAGACAACTGTGTCAACAAATGCAAATAATTTATGCTTCTCAGCTCCTACCCAATGGATGGCCCCATGCTGAGTATACACAAACTCAGAAGAAAAAGGCATGTCACAATCATATGACTAGGGAGGATAAGAGAATCACATAGAAATTTAAGTTCATCTTGAATAGAATTTCAGAAAGCACTTATCTAAAGTTAGCCAGCATAGGGATGTGCCCTGGTCATTTTAGCTAGCTTAAAACACTAACTTAGAGGTGTTGCAGCCTAGCTTCAAATGAGAGGTGATGAAGGGAACACAGCATTTTTAATTATTATGATAATTTTTTCTGGTAGAAAAATAAAAAACTAAATGACTACAAAATACTGTACAACCTCTGGCAGTAACTAACAAAGTGGCTTCTGGAAACAATGCTTTTGCCAAAAATGCATTTTAAGGCACTTAAATGGGTCTATCTTTTTAAATATATATAGAAAAATAAAATATATGCTGAAGCAACATTCACAAGTACCAGTTCTCAATTGTCTGTGAGTGTACAGTATAGTACATATATATATATACATTCGCTGTGACACGGTCTGCCTCCCTTCTTAGACCTTCACAGGTGCTTTAGGCTGTCTTGTTAACTTCAGTGCCTGCAAACATGAAACAAAATAGACTTTTATTGCATTTCAAAAGAATATAATCAAATACAAATCCAGCTTTTATTTCAGAGGGTGCAAATGGCTCAGTGTATTTCCAGGTGGCTCCGAGAGGCCATATTTATTATGGTTTTATAATTATCTTTTGACGTTGGCGCCTAACTGCACTCACTCTCTGCTTCATCCTCAAAGGCCAACATAGCACGCAGATGGATTAAACAGAGGAAAAAAGAGAGAAGATGGCTAGAATGATGGGAGTCTTTAGCAAAGCCTTACCAGTTGTGATGTAAATGTCTTTTGACACGGCTACATTTTCTTCTGCGCCACTATAGCATCTGCAAAAACCTGAATAACTGAAAAGTTTCCTTTCAGTGACAGTGTCAAGTTTTTCTTGCTATGACAGATTTTCATCATACCTGGATGATAAAATCATTTGGATCCATAACTGGGCTGTGTGTGCCTCTGCAGAGGCAAAGCAGCACCTGAAGGGGACAAATGCAAACTCTCTACTTGCATTCAGTCACTGTCGCTCACTGTGGTGCTAGGGAGTTAAGGGTTACACTAGAACCTATGTCCTTCATGAGTGGCAAAAGCCAGCAGAATAGCACTTGAGCGTTTGGAGAAGATTGCCAAAGCATCTCTGCTGGGTTAGTTCTCAAAAACACAACTGTTAGGTTCTGCTCAAAAAAAATCTTGTTAGGCAGATAATCCAATTATTGACCTGTTTTAAATGCCCTTTTTTGAGACAGACTGTTGTGAAAGTTAAGGAGAATCCATTCACACAACACTTAGGAGTACTCCCTTGACTTCAGTTCATCTGGTTTCAGGCCTGTTTATAGTATAGAAATTGTATCAATTGCATTGATTGGTGATCAAATATCACTACTTCCTTTCTGAGAAGTCCCAGATGGCAACAATAAAGCAACAGCTCAATCAGTCCTGTAGCCTCTCTCATAGTAATTTTATATATACTTAATGTCTATATCAGTTCCTTCAGTTTGTCAACCATCCCATTAAATATTTATACAAGACTGATACCTTCAATATGCTGACAACAACCAACTCTTTGTTGCCATGGTACATGACCCAACAAGTGAAGTTGAGCAAACTGCCCCATGTCTAGCTCAGGTTCAATTCATACAAAGGGCAGACAACCACTGTAGGTTGGTGGGGAGAGGCACTCTTGATTTAGGGAATACACATGGAGGCTAGTCCTCAGACTGACAGTGTTGGTGCTGGCTTAGATCTTAGCTGCTCCTGGATGCTCAGTAAGTAGCTGTGAAGAATGTTTTCTTCCAGTTGCAGTTGGACAGAGAAACATGGCCTTTTCTTTTGAGTGAGGCTCTACTTGATTTATCCATGCCTTTGTCCTGTGGTGATAAAATTGCTGCAATGCATCCTACCTGGTACTGGACGCAGATGTCTGTTTATTAAGTAGTGCCTCCTATGGCACATTACACCAGTGCTCTGTGAACTATGGAAGCTTCCAGTCAGCTTCTTGGTGAAATATAGTGAGTTGGAAAGAAGCTTTACATGACCTGATTCCTTGAGAGGCCACTTCTTTTCTAGGGTGTAAGTCAGCAACTTCTCACTTTAATGGTGCTAGTTTTAACAGGCCATTGTTTAAAAAGGGGCAGGGAGGAATGGCAGGACATTTTCTAAGAGGTGTCCTCAACTCTTGAAGTTAACTCATAACTCTTATAGGTCCAAGAGAGAGTGGCTTTCCTGACCTCCCTCAGGGAACAGGCAGACTGGACCTACCCTGAAAGGGCACTTTAACATATGTAGGTTGGTATGAAAATGGAGACTATTATTTATGGATAGATAGCTGGTTAAACAGCAATTTTTATTTTGTGAGATGGGATTTGGTGAGTCTTTGCATTGTAAATATTTGTCCTTTAGCGTTTTACATTTTTCAAGCTTGTAGAAGCTCCTTGGCAGATGCTATTTAAAACCAATGTAAAAAATACATTAAAAATAAATTGGGCATATGTAAAGACCATGTGCCCCAACAAGCATAGGCATTTAACGATGGCCAAAATTTAGCCATTAGAAACCATACCCTAGGACACTATGTAGCAAAAAAGAGGGGAGAGTCACAATTTCAATCTTGTTTGAGTAACTATTTCTTTCACTTTGTAGTTTGGCAGATTTTGCTGCCATATTTACAAACTAAAAACACCCGACTGCAGATGAACCTCTAAATATTTAAATTCAATTTCATACAAGCTGATCACATGTACTATCATAATTAAGCAAGAATGTCAGTGGAACTGAGTACTGTGACTGGATAACCGTCTCCCACTGCAAGAGAAATGCCAAAGTGAAGCCAAGGTGTTTATAGAAAATAAACATCAAGGCGATGATGACATGTTTATTTTCAAAGCGGGAGACCATTATCCAGTCACAACATTCAGTTCTATTGTAATTATTGCATCTGTACCAAAAACAACTTCATTGATTGAAAAAAAATAGAGTAATTAAAATAATATTCAAGTGAATAACTTGGGAGAAATGTATTGGTGCAGCAGAATGACAGGTTCTCAAAATGTCTTTATTGCAGCATTGTAGTTTCAGTAGACAATGTGTTTGGTGCTTAATGAACAAGAAACAAGTGCTTGGTGCAGCTCCAAAGGAGAGTGCAATGGTGGTTCTAAATCACTTTCCTTTACTCCCCACCCTCAATCTTGGCCTGGCTTTTGCTAATCCAGTGCCCTGCCCGCAGGCTACTGTAACTTGTAACAAATGGCAACAGACTCAAGTGGCCTGTAGTACAAGTGGGCATCACAGATGTTCAGATGAGCTCTAGCTATTTTCCCTATTCTGGCCACAGGGAGGAATGAAACAATACATGAGCTGTGATGCCCTAGCAGGGCGGTGATCATCCCCCAGTACTGGTGACAGTTTTAACTGCTTTTTTCAGGAACAGCACAAAGTTGGGCTCAGACCCCTGTGAAGATCAGGACTACTGTGTCTGTATTGATAAAAGGCCAGCCTGAAAGGGCTTTTTTAGGGGATCGATTTTTAAGGTGAATTTTAGGCCGTGAATTTTAGGCCAAGATTTTCAAAATGACTAGTGCCCAACTTTTAGACAGCATTGAAGATCCACTCTCTGAAAATTGTGACCCTTTCACGTGTTTCAAAGAAACAAAAAAACAGAAGTGCTCCAAATTGCAAGTCTGAAAATCTTAGTCTTTAAGTTAGATACAGGCTTTGTACTGAGAGCAGTGGAGGCTGATGTCCTTTCTGGCTGCTGATGCAACAATCTAAACATGTTTATTGAAAATGTGAAATTCTGAAAATTCCAGTCAACTTTCTTCTCTACCTACCAAGGAGACTTGGGCAGTGGCAGTGTAAGCTATCCCACACTGTGCGGTAATGTCCCACTACTTTTACCTCAAGGACTCCCTGTCTGGGTGAGAGTTTCCCAGTCTCTAATACCCATTCAATGCTTGTCATTTCTACTAACCAGAGGGGCCAATTAGTGTCCATCACCAGGATTTGTTTCTCTGGTGTTGGTATTTCTATATTAAGAACCTGATAGACACACCATTACGCTTAGTTCACATGGATGACTGAATAGCTGTCAGACGGTAACAGCATCAATCACTGCTGTACTAAACGGAATTTGACCCATGTGACAGCCCTATGAACCAGCCAATGCTCTATTTTTGCTTTTAAAACTTGACATGAAATACCATTCACCACCTAGTAATCTGTATATTTTTCATAAGAATAAAGGGCAACATAATATAGGAAAACAATGAAAGGTTTCGTCCTGAATGATTTTAATTCATTGCATACAGGGCTCTCATTAAGAAACATCAAAACTCAGCAGAGACAACGGTCCTCAGAGTGACAGATGTATGAAATCTCATCAGAAGAGAAATTCCAAAGTTAGCTTTATTTGATAGAGTTTGGCTCATGTTGCAAAGTTCAGATCTAGCAAGGGCCCTTTTTATTGGGGGTTTTCTGTGTCAGATGTGTGGTTTACTAACGAGCAAGGAGCCAGCTGCAGAGGTCTGATCTGGATCTGAACTTCTTAAAAATCTGGGATGTTTGAACCCTGGGTTTTCATTCAGTCTTTATGGATATCAACACCATAAAGCAAGAAAGGAAAAAGGAAACCAATGTGCCTTGATCTATAAGAACATCAAGGCTTTCAGAGTTACTTTTACTTACATTAAAAATAGTATTCTGCATTATAAATATATGTCTGTGGGAGCATTTCTTACCTTCTGTCTAGAAACCATCCAGGATTTTATAGTTGGTACCAACACACTACCAAGAAGAATCTGAGCTGGGTGATAGATAAGTAAGGGGACGGTAATTAAAGACAGGTGCTCATAGCCGGCAAATACAATGTTCAGCATTGGAATCCCTGCGGGCACAAAGACAACAGACTTAAAACTTGACTTTTCTTTTCACTTGAAGGGTCACAGCCAAACATTTTACCAAGATTTCAACCAGACAAAAAGAACACTTTTACAAGAACAAAGAGACAGAAGGATCTTATGAAAGGCAACCCTTCCTCAAGATTTACAAAACAGCTACACTGCAGAGGTCTCCTTCTGCTTCTGGCTAAACCTTGGACTACCAGAAAGGTTTCAAACAGAAGTTCCTTAATTGAGTCGACTGATCTTGCTGGAGGTGACTGTGCAGATGCTGGAAGGAGTCTTGGATTCCTTTTGTTTTCCTCTTTCTTTGCTGTATTTCCACTTTTCTCACTTGTCCCTTTGAACCTGCCCATTTCCTTCCATTAATAACCTTCCACCTGTCCCATCAGCTCTGTAGGAGCCCTATACTCCTACTAACTCCTGATGCACTCCCTTTTCAGAGAGAAGAGTTCAGGCATCAGCCTACCATCTCTGACTGATGCATATGGCTCATGTGGAGCCAAGTGCCTGTCCAAGGGAACAAGGATGTAAAGGGTTAACCGGTTAACCTTACTGGGAGATGCTTACCAGGTAGGTAGTTAACCGGCAGCCTGGCTAGGCTGGAGCAGCCCTTCCCAACCTGATGTGGGTGGGGCACTGCTCCATCCTGGCCAGGTCCACCATGACATGGGTTGGGGTACTCCATCCCAAATGGGCTGAAGCAGGCTCTGCCCGTTGCATGGTGGCCCCCTCCCTGCGATGTGGCGGGCTCAGCAACTGGCAGTGTGATCTGCTCCGGCTCAGCGGGGCCTCTCCTCATCTGCGTTGTGGGGGGGCCACTCCAGCCTGGCTAGGTTCACCACGCCACAGGGTTACTCCAGCCAAGTCGGATTGGAGTGGCCACCCCATGTGTGATCCCAGTTAACTGATTAAACAACTTTTAACTGGTTTAAGCCAGTTTAAACAGTTTAACTGGTTAACTTTTTAAATGGGATTTTACATCTGTACACAGGAACATTCATTTATTAGTGAGATAATATCACTTCCCACTCTGGTGAGAAGTTTCCAAAGAAAGGAAGGAAGACAGATGTCCTAATGAACTAATGGTGCAGCACAAATAAACCGAAGAAGTTAGTAGGGAAGTAGGAAATGGTTCACAATGGAGGCTGGGCAGGGCTGGATTAAGACATGCTAAGGCCCTAAAACAGGGCTACTCATTTTTGGAAGCCCCAGGGGGGCCACAATGATACTTGCAGTACACGTCGAGGGCCGCAACTTAAGTATGGTTGCATATACACACAAATATATGCAAATAGCTTTTTTCACACTGACGGGCATTAATACAAAGATTAAGGCAAGACTATACAACATGCAGGCCCATTTAAGTCAGTTCTGCTGATATTAATAAAATGCAATATTTACCCGACTGCCACCCATATGACAGCACTTTTAACGAGCAATGACAGTCCAGGAATTTAACTACTAAAATGAATATGAAGGGAGGCCATTATATGGACTACTTTTTTGTTTTGGCTCCCACCTGCAGGCTGAGTGTTGAGCCCTGTGTAAACGCATACCTCACCGCAGGTCACAAACAAATGGGCTGCGTGTTGAGTTGCCCTGCCCTAAAGTATGTCAAGTTTAAGAGGTCCCATGCATTACCAAACAAATGTGTATTATTCTAACAGAAAGGACAATGAAAAAGAAACAATAATGTTTTATATTTGCATATATACTGGTACATAAGCGAAGATGCAACTAAAAAGTCTGTACTTAGAAATCCCTCATAATCTGAGGCCCTAAAGTGTGGCTTATTTAGCTTGTGCATATATTCTGCACTGACGGGAGGTTGGGAGAAGTGGAAGTAAAGCTCTAAATGCAGGACATTTTCCCTAGGAGTCTTAGTTTGAGCTCAACAATGCCATTTCCATTATACTTTTCCAAGGAGATTCTTTACAGATAATGCATTTGTATGTCTCTACCTGATTCCACCATTATAAACTAAAACAAGTTATCCTTTTAACATATTTATTCTGTAAAATAAGTCTTAAAATATATATAATCTGAAAAGTCCTCTTTTTTGTAGACTATTTTTCCACACAAGGCTGGAAATAAAACACAAAACTCCAGGGAAACCGATTTTACTCTGCGGAAAAAGATGGCAGGGATGAAATCTACTAAACTTTCACCACAAAACCTGAATAGGTGAAATTTTTATCACAAATGAAATGTGTGCGTAGAGGATAGTAAACCTCAGCTGAATTTGGCAGAAACACGAACCATCTGGATGGTGGGGGTTTAAATGAACGGAAACCAAGAAGTTTGGATAAATTACCATGTGCTAAACCTGCAAAGTTTCACAAAGGTCTAGTGCAGGAATAGATCATACTACCTGAAGGCTACTGAATGACTTATGTGTAATGAACTCCAGATGTGAGTTCCCGTACCTGTGGACAAGTTCCACATCACACATATCATCTATAGAATTAACACTACTGATAGTAGCCAGAAAGAGAGATGAAGGCATGAACACATCACTAGAAGATCAACAATGTGTTCCCTCTTCAGGGGGTTTGGCTGTGACAGGCCAGTGTGGGGAAATTTGGACTGATACTATCGTTGTTCTGTCATGTGGATATAAACAGATACAGGATACCTTAGAGACTTCAGCCTACCACTTTTCAGAAGCACTTCATTGTTACTTACCATTTAAAATAATACATTATTTTGCGTAAAGATGAAACAGAATGAAGTTATCCAGGTGATTACTTCAAACGCATCATTGTTCAAATTTTTTTTTTAAGAAACAGAAATTTATTACTATGCTGTCCATGAAACAGGTGTGTAAGACAGAACATGTGATCTATCACTGCCTTGTCTGGACCATATAGAGGATCACACATGAAAGTACCAGCTATTCTCTAAGGGTGCGTCTACACAGCACCCTAAACTCGAAATGGTGAGTCTACATAGCGCCGAATTTAAAAATAACATACTATTTTGAGCCATCCCATAACCCCTCGTGAAACCAGGTTTACCAGGATGGTGAAATAGTGTACCTGTTATTTTGAAAAATATTTCGAAATAACAGGCAGTTTGTGTTGACGTGGGGTAGCTATTTTGAGATACCTCCTGAAACACTGGCTCCTGGTTTGGCCAGAGAGTCACTACTAAGATGGCAAGATCTTACTCCCAGCAACTGATGGCATGGATCCACCAAAATTATTAATTCTAAGAAACACTAACCTCCCACTTCATTTGTGAACTCTTCCTCTTACTGTGATCCCAGAACAAGTGTTGTCTCCCTCCCTAGTTTGACAGCATAAAGCCTACTTGTCCCACATTCGCAGCTTTCCCTAATCCTGCTCCATGAATGATCCAAAGATGCTGCCTGAACTCATCCTTGTTCATCCTCTGCAGCACACTTCAGGAGCTCCTTTTAATCCAGCTGATCAGTTTCTTTACATAAAACCACTGGTTCCAATCCTTCAAGCCGCACTCATACTAATAATCTTTACTTACAGGCCTATTCCCAGTGAAAAACCATTAACATAATAAAGGTCTGTAGGACTGGGTCCAATATTATTAAACAAACATCTCCAAACAACATTGTGGGCCTGTCATCAATCCAAAACGGGAGACATTTAAAGTTGTTTTTGTTGTGCCATATCTTAATCAAAATGATAAGTCCTGTTAGACTTGTGAAAGGCAAGGAGAGTAAATGATAACCTGTAGTAGAAAGTGAATTCACCAAGGTATAGGGACTTTTCTGAACTTTCAAGGTATTTCTGAGGTTAGTGGATATATTTGGATAGATACATATGATGGATAGTTGCATTGCTAAAGATTAATTTGCTACACATGGCCACCATGCTGTTTTTGCACAATGAAAACAGTTTTATTTGCCACCCCAAACTTTAGAACTTCAAACATAAAAAATAGCTTTCTTGTATTTAGAGGACTATCTGAAAAATGTCTTGTTAATATGTCTAATTGGTGAGCACATTAATTTAACTTAACAAAATGATAATTATAATACTGTGTTTAGCATTTAGAAAGCATAGTTTCATCCAGAAATCTGAATGCACTTTATAAAGGAGAATAAGCACTTTACAAAAGGTAAATTATTCCATATTTACTTAGAGAAATTAAGAAAGAGCGCTTTACTGTCTAGCCTAAGGTGACACAGGAAACTAATGGCAGAAGCAGAACTACAATCCTGATGACTAATCCTGTCCTAGTTCCAAAATGATGGACATATTCTTCAAGTCCTGGGCTGAGAACAAACATGAGAAATTTTAGCTTAAAAGTTAATTTTCTGAGGAACAGTTATGAGTCAGTAAAAAACTGGGAAGTAAAATGAAGGCTGTCATCCATAACTGCAAAATATTATAACTACTGTGACAATATAATTAGATTATTGGATACTAAATGATCCTTAATCCATATACTGTTTAGATACATGTCACAACAGTAGCTCTTTGTGAGCCATCACTGTGCAATTACAGTACAGTTCCATAATTCACTAGGAAAACCTGAATAGAGGTGGGGTTGGGGTAACTTTTCAGATACGCATTAAGGAAAAAAATCACGTTAATTTTTTATGTAGCTCCTGCTTACTGCAAACCCAACCTTCGCCACCTTTAGTGTCTGTAGTAAATATGGCATTGGGGAGTAACACAGATTAGATGCTCAGATACTCATGTCAGTAATGGTGAAAATAAAATGTTAGAAATTTACTTTTTTACTGGATAAAATATACTCCCGAATTTTTTTAAAAAAAAGGTAAACACAAAGGTTGCATGTAATGTGCCAAGCAATACTCAAAATGTCTTTAATCCCAGTAAGAGTCCATAGGACTACTACTGTAGTTCTATGTAAAATTTAGCCATTTATAAAATAGATGTACCCAAAAATGTTATCGAATACCAGGTAAGAAAATCTTGCAAACTCTTAATTAGGAAAAATACAGACTTTTTAAGGTACAAGAGCAAATTGGAATCCT